TCAAACAGATGGCACATTGATCCTTAGTCGTTAACTTGTTAATGAAAAAGCCTCTATTCTTTCTTGCAGAGATAAGATCTCTTGCTCTCTGGAGTTCACAGCTATAGCCAGAGGCAGGCAAGCAACTCCATGCACAGATGTTAGGGGCTGCGCACAACTGTGAAGAAACATAAGTACAGATTGCCAAGCGGGTGCCATACCCTGCCATATCCTACCCCCTTGCAGGGCCTCCCCCTTTCATCCTCTCCTGGGGAAGTACTTAAGGTTAAGAAAGCATCTAATGCCACATCTAGGCACGTTTCCCATCAATGTGATGTAGCAGGAATGAGAGCTCCCTTTGTGTGCTTTGTACATGTGGTCAGGCAGTGGAAGAGCTACACGGGGTGTGTATCGCGCACAAGGAACACCTGCAGATTCAGCACAGGGGTTTGCACGTTGTGGGGTGGCTGGGAGGGAGGGGGGAGTGGTGGCGGCCGTTCTGGGGGGGAAGGGAGGTGAGGGGACTCCTAGGACGTGCGCCAGAAGTGGTGACCGGGTTGGGGAGCAGCTCTGGAGAAGAGTGTGATGCTCAGTCCGCGGGGAGGGGACAGAAGTGCAGCTCATTGTTCGAGCTCCCCCCTTTGATCTTGGCGGCCCCTGGACGGAGCAGAACTCCCGTTTCCGCGAAGAAACCTGACTCCTGGGCGCTGACTCACAACCCTGCTCCTGCTCCAGCTCCGCGCACGCTCCAGCCTGCAACCGCGGGCAGAGACAATGGCCCAGCCCGGCCCCTACCAAAGAGCCGGAGCCATTCAGGGCGCGCGGAGCCAGCGGAGGCGTGAAGCTCCCGGCGCTGGCAGAGCGAAGCTGCCACGCCAGCAGCCTGCAGAGCGGGGGAAGGACCCGCCAGCGCTTGGAATCCTTCTCCCCGGCCGGCGCGGGGAGAGCCTGATCCACCCCCGCCTCCTGTGCGCCCCCCCGCCCATGCCCACCCACTGCTCTGCGCCCCGGCACCGGGCACGCTGCCCCAGCGCGTGGTCCCTTCGCTGTGCGCCCCTGGCAGGGATCAGGCCCTAGCGCCCCTGGCTCGGTTCCTGCCCCTCGCTGCTGGCAGCCGCTTATGTAACCGGATCACTGCAGCAATCCGCGCGCGGAGCCCCAGCGCCGGGGGAGCCTCGCTCCTCTCTTACCGCCAACGCATCCCGCTAGGAAATCCAGCGCCATCCTGCTCTCCGCGGCCCCCCTGCTGCAGGCCCGGTGCGTGCGGCTGCCGCTCCCCCCTCGCTGCACGGGGCACCACAGCTGCCGCTCCGGCGGCTTCCTCGGGCCTCCCGAGTCCCTCGGGGTTGCAGGGGCTGGATGTGGGGGTCGGCGGCTCGAGATCAGGGACTCGCGAGGCCTCCCCCGGGCAGCGCTAGCAGCAGCGAGCGGCCCCCCGGCGCACGTTCCAGCCCTACGCAGCGCAACCTCCACCCCAGCGCCGCTCTCGCCCTTTCTATTTCTGACGCCGCTGCTGCGAGGAGGGGGGAGACAGAGCCTTATGGGGAAGCGGAAGCCTCCAATCAGCGGCAGCGGGCGAGACAACACCCCTCCGGCCGAGCCCTCCGCCTGGCTGCCGATTGGCGGCTCCTCGGGGGTGGCTGATGCCTTGGGGAGGAGGGTGGAAGTGGCGGAGACAAAGAAGCCGAGAGGCTGGAGGGTGCTTTGTGTTCTCTCCTCTCCGGGCTGGGGCCCGGCGTTCAGCCTTGGGGCAGTGCCTCTCGCTGCCGTGCAAGATGCCAGCCGGGGCGGGCGGACAAAGGGCTTTTTTCAGGCTGGCCGTTCTTATACTTGTGCAGCAACTGCTCCGCCTTCGCCCCGCCTGCCCTTGAGTCGGCCAAGGCCGCGGTTCTCGAGCCTTATGCAGTCTGCTGATGACCGCCCCGAATTGCGCGGGGGTATTAGACAACCTACGGGCTGGTAGTGGTTCACACTTCTTAAAAATCTCTTGCGACTGTATTGGTTTAGGAACGGATACAGCTAAAGCAGTACGGCCCCCTAGTAGGGATGCAGTTATACCAGTAGCGCATTCACCATGCCGGCACTAGAGGGCTGTACCAATTTAACTGGATTTGTATAAAATCACACCCCCAACCAAAAGATGGTGTAGACCAGGCCTACATGCAGAATCATTGGTTCCAGAGAATCAATGGCAGATTGTTATCATGACTTAGGCCCTGAAGGATGTGATATGTGTGTCTTTATAAAACACCATGCAGACATCTATGGTATATATCGGTATTAGCGATATGCTGCTGCGAATTGCCTCTGTAGTGCTCCTTCCACTGTTATGCAGGTTTCAGAGTAGCAGCCGTGTTAGTCTGTATTCGTGTTAGTCTGTAGCTCACGAAAGCTTATACTCAAATAAATTCGTTAGTCTCTAAGGTGCGACAAGTACTCCTTTTCTTTTCACTTTTATACAGTTTTTCCTATTCAGATTCCTAGGGTTCTAGTCAATATATTTTTTCTGGGTAGAGAAGGAGGATTTATCTCGAGTTATGCACAATGATGTTTGCACAAGACCGAATCCTGTTAAAATGGCATAGCTTTTTTAAAAATTTGTTAAGCGTATTCAGTTTCCCTCTTCATCAAAATGTGGACTCTTATCTTGCAAGTGGGGCCAGAGAAAAGCCTCGCTGACGTCAGCTGGGGGGGTCTGTTCATGTGGTACATGCAGCTTCAGATAAAAATGTGATTTTTCAAATTGATAGCTGGCTATCTTAAAAAGGTTTCCTGCCTACATTGTTCAGCCCAGTCTTCCCTTCCCTTGTTTTTATAACTATTTTACAAGGCAATTATAGGTAAGGGCACTATTGAGACCTGGTACAATTCCATGCTCTGCCTTAGAATTCCTGTGTGGCCCTTGTCAAGTCACTTAGGCACTTCTGGAAATTTTACCTAAAAGTGACTTAGGAGCCTAAGGCCTTGTGTACGTGGTAGGGAAAAATGTGCTCTATGGAGGTGTGATTTCTAAAGCACACTAATATGTTGCACATCAGTTGGCCCTTGTAAATTCTGCTGGAGCACACTAAAAGTTCCTTAGTGTGTTTCTTTAATGTAGTACTGTTTTAAACAGCACTATGTTAAAGTGCACTGGAAGGGTCTATGCCAACCAGTCATATGCATCCGACGAAGTGGGTATTCACCCACGAAAGCTTATGCTCCAATACGTCTGTTAGTCTATAAGGTGCCACAGGACTCTTTGCCGCTTTAACCAATCACAGTGTGCTTTAGAAATCACACCCATGTAGAGTGCATTACTGCAGTGTGTGGACAAGCCCTTAGTCATGTTTGAAAATGAGATTTAGGGTCCTAGAAATGTTACCCTTTTTCTATGTCCTATCTGTTTCCCTATCTTACTGGGGTTTTGTGTGGATAAACAGATTAACAAGGTGCGCAGATACCATGGTAAGTGGGGCATTTAAGTACTAAGACAGATAGAAGATGGTACTATTGTGTACACTACAGCCATCTGGTAGTGATCACTGAAAAGGAAAGTGTTTTCTATACAATTGTTGTCTACTGTCATTAGTAATGTACTAGAGTGTAAATATCCTCAATTCCTAGTATAACTGTATGAATTTCTCAGTTTCACCTGGACCTGCAGACTGCTGTTCATAACAAACATACACCTGTTTACATGTAATACTTGTTATATATAATCTTTCTTTCATTTAACAGAAGAACCCTTCGCCCATGAAACCCGCTCTGTCGATGTATTTCCTGTGCTCTGAAGCTCTAGAAGGTAAGGTTCCCATTTGTTGGTGCACAGGGGGAAGAATGGCCAAGTTGCTGTTTCATCTGTATAAAGCTATTTACCTGGAATTCCAGGTGTACAGAAACTCCAAAGGGGAAGGAGCTCTCTGCCATCTGTTGATGAACGGGAGGGAAGTATGGCTACAGAAAGCTTCCTTTGAATAAGAATTCCTCCAGTGACACTTGAGGAGTCACCATAAAGATACACAGCTCAGAACTGGTTGGGTAGTAGAATTGAACTGAAAGAAGGGGAAAGGGCTCCTATCTTGTGTAATAGAAGGAAGGGAGCCTGGAGCACGGGTCTGGTGCAAGGCCTGATGCCTGAACCAAAGTCAGCAAGAACCATGCTATGAATTAAAATATGACCCTGTCATAAAACAGATGCTTGCTTATAATTCACTGTCCGGTACATGAACGTGGCAAAAACACAGCTAGCGTTGCAAAAACATAGGCAGTCCTAAGAAGTACTAGGTACTGAATATTAATATAAATAGATTCCAGAAGGCTAGTATAGGGGTGACACTCTGTACCTCAAAATAGCACCCTGGAACCCCCATGTTCACCACTGTGATATGAGTATGGTATGTTTTGTACAAAATATGCCCTGTGAGGTATAATTTGAGAAGTCATGAGTAAGGCTGCAATTTAGTCACGGCAATCACGGATTCCATGACTTTACTGGACCTCCGTGACTTCTAGGGCTTCAGGAGGCGGAGGCAGAGGCAGGACTGTATGCTGCTGCACTGCAGCTGAGGCTGGAACCAAGAGAACCCTGTAGCCCCTGCCCGGCGACTTCTGCCGGGGCTGTGCACCCCAGTTGTGTGGTGTCCAGGGCTTGGGGAGTGCAGGGCTGCAGCAGGGGCTGTGCGCCCTAGCCCCGCGGTCCCGGGCTTGGCGGGGGCTTCAGTTGGGGCTGCATTCCGCCAGGGGCTGTGCACCCCACTCACGGCTTCCCAGGGCCATGCGACCCCTCCCCCCCACACGTCTGGGGCTGCAGTGGGGCTGTGCACCCTTGTCTCGTAGCTGTGGTCAGATCCAGGGTGAGGTTGTGCGCCCCAGGGTGGCCTCTGTTGCTGGAGCCAGGGCTGTGCCCCCCCCCCCCCACCATGGCGGCGGGCTCGGCTTGTCAGTCCCTCCCCATGGGACTCCATTCCCCCCCCCTTACCTAATCCTGCCCCCACCCCCCACCCCCCGGTTATTTTTAGTAAAGTCAAGGACAGGGTACGGGCTCCATGAATTTTTGTTTATTTCCTGTGACCTGTCTGTGACTTTTACTAAAAATAACAGTGACTAAATCTTAGCGTTAGTCATGATCTGTTGAGCATTACTATCCTGTTGAATTATGTGTTACCATTGTATCTGAAATTATGAAGTTTTGCTATGGGTGTGTTACTGAAATATGTTGAGTCTGGGAGACGCCCATAGCTGGCCTTTCAATGGCAACAAAGCCAACGCCCTCAAGACAGATTTACAACAGAACTAGCTGGCCATCTGTTGATGGCCCATTAAGGAGAATCCATTCTCCCAGTGGGACCTTCCTGATGCACATAGACAATGGGGATTGCTTAACCCAGTGACTCAACAGGGGACATAGAACATGTGATCCCTGACTTGTTTAAACAATATCTTTCCATGCACATGGATTGGGATGTATAAATTGGAGTCTGTGACATCAGCCTTGGCCTCTCTCCTCCCTCACCTACTCTGAAGGCAACAAGAATGTTTGGAAGAAAAGACGTTGAACTGAGGAGATTCCAGGCTGATCAAAGAATTTAGCCCTTACCACCTGCAACATCCAGTGGGGTGAGAAAAGATGTTCGATTCAAATCTTCCTTAGTCTGATAAAGTTTAAAATTTAGACTGTGATTTTATTTTTATTTCTTATGCAACCAACTTTGACCTCCAACACTTATAATCACTTAAAATCTATCTTTCTGTAGTTAATAAACGTATTTTAATGTTTTATCCTTACCAGTGAGTTTGTCTAAAGTGCATGGGGAATCTGCTCAGATTATAAAGGCTGGTGCATGTCCACTATCCTTTGATGAAGTGGCAAACTAATTAATGAGCATGCATTGTTCAAAAGAAGGTCTTGAGCAGTGTAAGATGGTACATTTCTGGGGTGCAAGGCTTGGAGCTAGGGGTATTTGCTGGTGTCTCTCTTATGTATAGTTCCTCAGTGGCTTACAGAGTATTCATGCCAATTAGCTGGGTGTGTCTCTGCATGCTCTTGGCTGAGAGATCACAGCACCAGGAGGGGTTTGCTGCTTGTCACTAGCATGACATTGTAAGGGACAGCCCAGGGAGGAGAGTTAAGGGAGCACAGCGGTCCCACAGTTCCAGGTTTTCCCCGGGGGTATGTCACAACAGGTAAACCCCAACATAAAGTTGTGGCATAAACACAACTCTGGGAGATGGTACAAGAACACTCCAACCCCGAGGAAGACAAGGATGGGAGGACAGGATGATGGATAGAGATGTTTTTGTTGGATCCATCAGGTACAAGGTGTAGGGTTGGTAGTTAACAATGTCAGAAATGTAATACATAACTTGTTTGTGTCAATAAATAAAAAAGAAATCAGAAGAGGGGTACCTTTCTCCAGCCGAGGGGACAGCAAAGAGTCCTGGTACCATTGTAACAAGCATACATGTGTGAGCTTACCTGTAGACAAGGAGCCAGCGAGCTAGTACCACAATTCATTGACAATAAACCTGGCCAAGCGCCTTCGCCACTGATCTGTGTTGTGGTCTTTCTGGGTAGTACTGTCACTAGCTGCTAGGCCTAGCTGCACAGAGCTGGGACAGCACACAGAGAGAAAACACACGCACACCAGCTGACAACACCTTGTAGCAAGAAATGCATCTCTAGTAGCAAAAACTGTGGAAAGATCCTGTATGCGTTTCCTCTTTCTCTTCCCCCCCCCCCCCCTCGAGATTCTGTGCCATTAGGTGGATTCTTCAAGGGGAGGTGAGGCAGGAATAGCTCTGACACAGACTGAGCGATGGCTCCTCAGCGGGGTGCAGGGCTGAAGCCAGGGAGGACAGCAACAGAGCTGAGTGAACGGCGATGAGACCCCCTCCTACCCAGCTTCTAAATAAAGCTGAATTCACCATAGCTAGTTTAGTTGGTGGAGCTGAGGATAGGAACAGGCAGCACTTCCCAAAGGACTGGAGACAGGCTTGCTTGAATGCACCTGAGAACGCTGGGAGTACACTACCCACTGGCATCAAACCATGAGTAGGGTTTAGCAGATGGGGAAGAGGGAAGTGATGTGATAAAGGGACATGTGCCTAGTATAGGATGTTCACTCTGGCAGGTGCTGATCTCAGGTAATGGACTACTGCCAAAGTTACTGTGGGGCAGTGTTTTTGTCTCCTTCATATAGATAGTGCTGCCGTGTTTTCTCAAACTGATCCTGTTTCTTTTTCCCCCTAAAAGTTTTCCTTGTTTCATACACACACACACTGCTTGCGGGAGGGGAAGTATGCCTGTTAAGAGAGCCCCGGGAAAGTATTTAGGGAACCCAGAAATTCTGGGTGTGGACATGAGCCAGTGATGTTTGTTTTAAGATGGACCCTGGGTATTTGAAGCTGGCCTTGAGTCTCTTGTGGGGGTGGGGTATAAAATAGCATGGAAAAAAGGTGAAAGGTGATTGGTAGAAAGAGTGACATTGTAGTGAAACCGGTTTAGTCTGTAGCCTTAAAACAAGCAGCGCCATATATGGGTATAGTCTGTCATGCTGAAACAAAACCTAACCCTATCCTGTGTTAATATTGGTTCAAAGCTGATTCATCTCTGAATTATGGCTGGGGAAAGCCTTTCTTCAAACCCCCAGTGCAGATGCAGTTATACGATTTAAAAGGGCCTATGCTGGTATATCTTTTTCCCTTTCCCATGCACTCCCTCTGTTTGGTGAAGCGTAAGGGTGCAGTGGAGTGCGAGTCAAAAGGGATGTGCTAATTCTTATATCTCTCAGGTTCTTTATAGTTATCTCAGCTGAAGGAATAGCACTTGTTGAACATGTTCATCTCCATTCTGCTAAACCAGATCAAACATAATCTATAACAAACTGGGACTAGCGTGTAGATAGGAAGTAGTAGCTTTCTCTGGCTTGGAATGAGGACAAGCCAGGTAAGAATTGAAGTGGAAGGAGTTAGTGCCAGCCTGGGAAGTTTCTGTGGTTCCCAGCCCTTCCTGTAGGTGGAGCAGTAACAGTAATACCACCTGATGGGAGGGAGGGGTGGAAAGTGTCCTTTCTTAAAGATCCTGTTCCCTCAACAGGTTTCAGAGTAACAGCCGTGTTAGTCTGTATTCGCAAAAAGAAAAGGAGTACTTGTGGCACCTTAGAGACTAACCAATTTATTTGAGCATGAGCTTTCGTGAGCTACAGCTCACTTCATCGGATGCATGCAGTGGAAACTGCAGCAGACTTTATTTATACACAGAGAATATGAAAAAATACCTCCCCCCACCCCACTGTCGGACAGTGGGGTGGGAGGAGGTATTTTTTCATATTCTCTGTGTATAAATAAAGTCTGCTGCAGTTTCCACTTCATCGGATGCATGCAGTGGAAACTGCAGCAGACTTTATTTATACACAGAGAATATGAAAAAATACTTCCTCCCACCCCACTGTCTGACAGTGGGGTGGGAGGAGGTATTTTTTCATATTCTCTGTGTATAAATAAAGTCTGCTGCAGTTTCCACTGCATGCATCCGATGAAGTGAGCTGTAGCTCACGAAAGCTCATGCTCAAATAAATTGGTTAGTCTCTAAGGTGCCACAAGTACTCCTTTTCTTTTTGTTCCCTCAACAGTTATGCCTTCCTTCTCGGGAAGAGGGGAAGAAAGAGCTTCCTTGTTGCTGACTAAGGAAGGGGGAAATCGAAGAGGAGATCCAGTTACAACCAGGGAAATTATTGAACTTCTCTTCACATTTTGAACCACTTGTTAAACCTGGGCCCAGTTCCAAATACCCATGAACAATGGAAAAGTCTGATATAGACCTGGCTCTTATCAGCAACCACCACCAAACTTTGGTTTAAAATTGGACTTTGTGGTTCAATTCCTCTCCAGTCTGGATGAATGTCACAGAAAGCTCTTAAGTCAGTTCCAAGGAAATATTTTAAATTTTGCCAGGTTGGGATTTAAATTCCATTAACCACAGAAAGCAACGTGGGGCTTGAGGAGCAAATGATCTTTCATTGCTTGGCTAATGACCTAAAACAGGATGAGACAATACATAATTTACATTGGTAGAATAATTGGGACTAAACATTAGAACAGTATAAAAGAAAAATGTACAAGTTGAGGGCCTTTTGCTCAGCTGCTCTGTGGAAACTCTCATTGTCTTACCCCATAGATTCTTTTCTTCTCCAAGTGAATCACTGAGCATCTTTAAGGAACCTCATTGTGTGAGTTTATACCCATTTTCCTAGGTTTTCTAGCCTCTGTTGTATTTGTCACCCCTCTCAGCTTCATACCATTGGCCAATGCCCGGAAGATATGTCTGCACAGCATTTTGGAGTGAATGCGACTGAGCCTTCTGCCCGGGGCCAACAGTCTCAGGCTAGCAGGGCTTGGGCTAGTGCTTTGAAAACAGCTGTATAGACAGTGCTTTGAAATTGCTGCTTGGTGTGGAGCCCTGGCTCTGAAGCCCACCCACCTCCAGCCCAAGCTGCAACTTCTAAGTCCTGTCTGTGCAGCTATTTTTAGAGCACTAGCTGTCAACGTGGGCTCGGCAGCTTGCTTCTGCTCACCCCAAAATGCTGTGTAGACATACTTTTACTGTATTAGGTTTTATAGGTTAGAGCAGCCAATGCACTGCCCAGTGAGACAGTACAGGTCTCTTTTGTCCATTGATTTGGTGACCCTAAATAGCCTCTGTGTGTTCACTGAAACCAATGGGACAATAAGATCGAAGTACCATATGACAAATATTGAAATTAGAAATGTTGAAATGCCTTGATAAGGCCAGGGTTTAAGAACCTGATGCTGCTTCACACAGCAAACTCCAGTGGAGGGCACGTCTCACTGAAACAGATTTTGTTTACAATCTTCATCCACAAGGACAGGGAGGCAATGTTACAGCCTTTGCTAAGAGGTTAATCCCTACAGAGGCAGCGTCATGCCCTTTAAATACATACTCCCTCCGTACTTTACCAATTGCCACGTTTGCAATGGAGAACTTCTGTAATGTCAGACAGGATTTCTATACATCCTGGTCTTTATGTAGTGTGAATGCAATCACTGATATTTGGCCTCCGTGGTCAGACAGAGACCCTATTTATCTGGCACCCACTTATCCCCAAATCCCAGTGATCTGTAATTGGACAATGCCCACAGAAATACATCCTTCATGCTGAAATGTCTGTCCCTCCTTTATCTGACACTGTCTGTCTGAATAAATTCCAGGTCCCCTGTCATATTCAATATATGGGCCCAGTCTATCCCATCTGCTGTGTGACTTTAGATGGCAAACTCTTTGGGAACGGGATTGTAGAGTGCTGAGCATGTCTTTGGTGCTAAATAAAAAGTTTATAATTCAACAGATTTTCACAAGTGACTAGTAGTTTTGAGTGTCCAACTGGAAACGCCTTAAAGGGACCTGCTTTTCAGAAAGTGCTGTGCCACCCACCCTCTGAAAATCAGGTCCTTTCAATGTGTTTAAAGTTGGACACCCAAAAATTTTAGGCACTTTGGCCACAGTTTTCCAAAGCAAAGGTTTGGGATTCGTGAGACGTGGATTTTATTCCCAGTTCTGCCTCAGACTTCCTGTGTGACCTTAAGTGCTTACAATTTTG